CCCCCCCCCACCGTATCTAAATGGGAGAGCCCATGAGGTTGCCTCACTCACTTTAGTGCAATGGAATACCTACTGGTCCCTGACTCGCTATTTCGAACCAGGTAACCAGCTTCTTTGCAGGGTTGTAGTCGACTCTCAGCCTCAGCACGGGTGATGGCACCATGATACCAACTGAAAAACAGGGTGCAGGGAGACAACCATGGGCATCAAAACAGAAATCCAGGCAGGGCCTCATTCCATGAAGTGTTATTTGAAATGCACTTTTGGTAGGAGCTCAACAGCCCAAACTAGATCCTGCTTCACATTTAGAACACACAAAATGCAGCTGTGGGTAATCCACAAAACCCATCAATCAAACAAGAGGGAGCTTCCAGGGCTAGTGTCATCACTCTATACAGGAGAATGAAATTTAAAATCAGGCTCTTGGGATGCAGTACACTTTCCATTTTGTGGAAGTGCACTGGGCTTTGAAAGTGGGTTTTCATTAATAAGCCCCACCCAGACAAGTATTCATGAGCAATAATAATCACGTAAAATGGGCCAGTATGCTCCCTCTATCCCCAGGCTATGAAGGAGTTACCAGCTACTGTTTGTTACACGGCTGCGTAGGAGACTCACGGCTGCTTCTCCAGCGGCAGGGCTGGGTCCACTCTTTCCCCCTCACTGTGGTCAGAGAGGGTTGGCTTCAAGATCTTCTGGGTCCAGCTCTTCTGTCGGTGGTGCTGTCTCACTGTCTCCTCCTTCGTGGAAGGTTTCTCAGAGCCTTCAAACTGAACTGGAAGGAAGGCTCCATTTAATATCAGAGGACACAGAGGTGACCCAGGTAAACTTCAAAGAAGAGAAACCTCTGCCTCAGCTTAGGAAAGAAGTTTTTGTCTTCCCTTTAATGCAAGATAACATATTCTGCAAATACCCTGGGATAGCTGAGCTCCCGCAATCTTTGATATCTGATCATACTGCGAGCATCCACAGAGAGCTACTTTTTCTGTAAGATACTCATCAGTTTTAGAATATGAAAGAAAACCACTTTAATATACTTCAGCATGTTGTAGTATATTTAGATTAAAAGACTAAACATAATAGTTACAAGTGATGATTCCTTGCAAGTGTGTGTATCATTCTGTGAAATCAAGCGAACAGTTTTTTACTATGAAATAACAAAAAGTAAAATGTACTGCGAAACAGAAAGTAACTACTGGATGGCACCTTACAGATGCCATAACGTGTAGGCTGCATAGAAAATAGAGAGAATGAACGGTACCTAGCTCAGTAGCAGGTGCCCAACAGAGAGGTGTGAAAAACAAGGCTAAAGGAAAACTCGAACGGACTTGAAGGTCTGCTATAAAATATATGACCTTCTCTGTTCACCTTTTACATTAACTATACTTAAAAAAAAAAAATATATATATATATATCTATATCTATATCTTTATTGATTTCAGAGAGAGAAAGGGAGGGGGGAGAGAGAGAAAAAAATATTAATGATGAGAGAGTTGTCACTGATTGTCCGCCTCCTGCACACCCCCAACCGGGAATGTGCCCTGACTGGGAATCAAAATTCAATCTCCTAGATCCCAGGTCGATGCTCAACTGCTGAGCCACGCCCAGCGGGGCAACTAGACTTTTAATCCCAAACTTGCTTTTACTGTTGGAGGGAAACGACATCCCTGACTTTAAAAATCAAAGGCAAAAGAAATCATGTGGTCAGCCAAGTAGAAAAACTATGCCCTGAGAGAAACAGGAGAGCCACTTACCTTTAATAACTGCTGACAACCTATCACTTTCTTCATAAGTTATTTTTAAAATTCATATTTAAAGAACTGATTCCTTTAGAAGGAATTTTGACCAAAAAAAAAAAAAAAGCTAGCTTCATCCGGCTTTCCACCCACCTCTGCCTGTGATCCATTTGATCCTGAACTGCCTTTTTATGAATAGGGATTAACGGGTCTGAGGAGCACCAAGCAGCAGCTGCCCCCAATTAGAAAGCTGCAGTGGTGTTCGGGTAAGGCTTTTCCAACCAGTTGTGCACCGTGAAGAGACAGGGAAATAAAAATGCCCAGAAGGATAAAAGAGAAATGCAACATTCAGGGCTCTTCTTCAGCGCCGGTCTTCCAACCAGGCCCTACTCTTGTTTCCCCCACCGGATTCCTAGGGAAGAGGCTTGCGGTTGAGGAAGGGAAACGCGCGGCGGCTGCACGGCCCAGCCGGCCAGCTGTCCCC